CTGCGGGGGTACGCACCACACACACACACGACCCCATTACCTGCACAACAGAAGCCCCCATTACACACACATGCATGCACGCACACACTGTAAGCGCCAATTACACACACACATTTTTTTTATATATATATATATATACACACATATATACACATATATATATACACATATATACACATATATATACACACATATATACACATATATATACACATATATATACACACACCCACACACACACACGCGCGTGCATACACGACCCACAGGGCAAGCTCCCATTACCTACACATACACACAAGGCCCCTGGCATAATGGGGACACATCCTGGCAGGGTTCTGTGGTCTAAAGCAACCCCAGGTATGGAGACATGAGTCTGTGCAGGTGGTTGAAGAGGCATTGGGGCTCTGACCTACACACAGCGAACCCCTGAAGGAGGGTGTTATCCAGCCCCCCTTTGGGTCAATAATAATATTAACCTACCCATTTAGTTCCCTGGGCTCAGGACTTCCCTCACTGAATCAACAGGAGATGCAGTGTGGGTCACATTGCAGGCTTAGGGTCTTAACATTGCTGAAGGAAGAGGAATAGGAGTAGAATTTGGTTCCCTTTAGGTTTAATTACACCCCCTCCCACCCATTACCAATGGTGCTGTTGCTGCGTGCTTTTAAATGTGAAACCCCTTTCATTGTCATCATCATTATTACGAGAATAATGATTCCCTATCCCTCCACCCCCCCACACACAATAAATCTTTCTTCTAGCTTTTTTTTTTTTTTTTGAGCTATGCTGCAAATTTGCTCTCCTGTCCAAATCATTACCTCATCCTTGTCTGATGCACCATTTGATACTGTTTATATATGGAAAGCCAATTAACAACCCCTTGGCCCCAACTGGTTTTAATAGATTATTTATGCAGGACCACAGGTGTTACAAGAAAATAATAGGCCAGGCCCCTTATGAGGTCTTGCTCCACTGAAGTTAATGGCAAACACCCAAGAACATGAAGGTACAAGACCAGGTAATAAATTAGGTCCAGATTCTGTAAAGGTATATGTGTACATAAAAGCTTATAGGTTGGAGATCTTAATTCAAAAGCACAACAATGCAAACAGAATATTATGAGTGAAGAGATTAAGGAAACACAGAAGAAAACCCAAAATACTTCAGGCCTGGCCCAGCTTCTCTGAAAGTCAATAGAATGATTCCTGTTGATTGCAATGACAAGTGGATTAAGTCCTGGGTAGGAAATATAGCTGTTTTGGAGAAACATGTTTTTGTTTTTTTTTTACACAGGTGAAGTATCATACAAATATTTTGCATATATTTTTAGATAATTAAATTTGATATTTTAAACTTTTCAAAATTAGTTTTAAAGTCCTTTATCGGCCTAATTTTCTTCCAACTGAAGAAATATGCCTTTTGGAATCACTGCCCAATTGTCATGCAAATAGCTCTGTTCACACCATAATGTATATTTAAACATAATACACTTTCTATGCAGAAAATAAATCTTACTTATTTTAACAACTTTAGGAGATGAAATTATAAGATGCTGAATATTGTCAGCAAAACACTTAAAAGAATATCTAGATACAAAATTATTAGGCATGGAGACACTGTAGCTTTCACCTTCCTGATTGAATATGTCATACCATTGCCTGAGATAAATAACAATTTTATGGCCCAATTCTGCAAGTCTTTCCTCACATGAGTGGTTCCATTAAAGTTTATTTTTGTATGCATAAATAAATACATAAACACTTGCATTAGTTAAAATTTACAGTTTGAGCTCTTTGTTACAATTGACCTAGGTCATATTTGAAACAGTAATCTAAAGTACAAATGAAAAGCTCTCTATCTTGTTACTAATTACCTGAGTCACCCAGTTCCAAGAAAGATAGTGGTAAGTACAATAACACTCTTTCTCACCTTATATCACCATTTACATTTCTGTTGCTCATTTTATGGATGAACTGAACTGAGTTCCATCAGTCAATATCATGGCACATATCTGAGGGCCTTACATGGTACATAATGCATACGTATTGCATTATGCACAATATATATACATGTGTATTGAAAGCAAAGGGTGTCTTTACACATGCTCGGGGGGTGGCCGGGGGCTGGTCGCTTTAATTAAAGCAGCTTTTAGGAACCACTCTAATTAAAGCACCTGCAGCTTCTTGTGTATTCAGTGTCCCACACTTCAAAATGGTGGTGGAAGCACTTCAACTAAAGCTTGTTCAATGCTTGGTTTAGTTAAAGCTCCCCTGCCACCATTTTCAAGTGTAGGGATGCTAAATACACAGGATGCCAAGGCTGCTGGAGCGTGCTAATTGAGTGATTGAGTCTGCTCCAATATGTTTTAATTAGAATGTGTCAGAGCAGGCATCAGGCAGGTGTATAGGTGCTCAAAGTCCCTGATTATGCAATACATTCTGCATGGTAGATTCTTCAGCATAAGATGAGCATCAGTGAAGCCAGTAGGGTTCTCCATAGGTATAAGGGTCTGTGTGTGGAGCTTATTGCAGGATAATGGCCACAACCTGTAAGTTTGCAGAAAGTAAGGTTAAAAACGGAACAAATACTGAGGAATAACTGGATTTTAAGATTTTGGAGTGTTTAGGTGATTGGACCAGCAGATGGCAAATATGACTCAGTATAAACAAATGCCACAGTAGTGTGGAAAAAATAAAATCTAAGAAATATATCCTAACTGAAAATATTATTCAAGAGGATGAAGTGGAAAGAAATGAAGGACCAGTATGAAAATACCGTTGGACCAAAGGCTGCATTAATTAACTCTGTTGTATTTAATAGCTGAATTCAGAAGGTAACTCAATTACAATCATCAGCCTACTGTCCAGCAGCAACAAAAAATCTAAACAAGGTATTCAGTTGTATGAATTAATAGAATTTAAAATACCCATTATAAGAACTGGAAAGCCAAGATAATAAGCAATTTGGGCAGAACTGCTTAATGGAAGGGTTAAATATGTATGAGTTATTAGTGCAACTGAAGCAAAAACATTAAGACACCATCTGGTCTGTTTCTAGACATGAAGTGGGTAGTGGACGATAGTGAAGAAACAGTGTTAGGATTAAGTTGAATCAAAATGGATAAGTATCTTGGGCCAGATCATCTCCACTATTCCTCACAAGATTTATGTTCTTAATAACTGATGGTATAAGGACAGCATTGTGAATAGTGTTGAAAATGACATGTACCACAAATAGATCAGACTTAAAAATGTAGAAATACATCTTTGTTATATACAGTTACAGATGAGGATACTTTGTAAAGCAGCCAAAAGATCTTTCAAGATGTATGATGCTTCTAGAATAATTGGATTCCATACCACAACAAAATTTTGATTATGTGATTTTAGAATTTGGACAGGCAATCTCAGTTATGTCCACTGGAGTAGAGTCTGAGAAACATTACACCTCTCATTTCAAAATTCCTGAGAAGCAGAAATATATGTCCTAGTTTCCATTTGCCAAAAAAAAAAAAAAAAAGAGTGCAGTTAGTATAACCAGAAACTCAATGGGAATTGAGGGTGGTCAGCAACTCAGCATCTTGCAGGATCCAGATCCTTAGCAGAGTTAAATATGGAAACAGATTTTTAAAAAGCCAGCAGAGATCCACCTAAGGCCTAGACAGTCCATAGAATTAGTGTGGTGAAGACTTACTGGGCATATATATCTACACATGCCCCCGACCGTGCAGTTGTTACTGCTAAAGCAAGTACTAAACGACTGCTCAGTAACTGCTGTTACTGCACAGTCCTGGCAGCGCACAGACCCTACTGCACAGTAGAAATGAGCTACCATGCAGCAGCTCATTGCTACTTTGCAGTGGTGTTGGTGGGTACGGTGACATAGCGTTTTGTGTAGACACGCCCAATGCAGTGTACTAATTGGTACTTTTTGTAGCAACCATACACAAGGAAGCAATACAACCAACTTCACATCTAGCCACCTTTGATTCCCCAGCCTAAATGACCAAACAACTAGGTCTGCTGGAGCCAGCTTTTACCATGAATCTAGAGCAAAGCTCACAAAAACACAGTGAGATGACTTTACCATTCTCCCTCTACACCCCACATGCAGAGAGGTAGTGCAATGAAATTCAGCCTAGAAAAATGCAGCTAGTACATCTGGAGAAAAATCATCACAGCTATTTTTGTGGAAGGAGACATTAGGAAAGCAGTAGTTTTAAGACAGATTTACCATAGGATAGTTGAATAAAATGGGTTGGATAAGAGTTCAAATGCCATATGGGGAAAAGCAATGCAATTCTTATGACATACCTAAAGGCATAATTTATTGAAGCAAAAGAAATGGTTATCTTAGAGTTGTATTGACTGACTAGACTACACCTAAAACACACATTCAGTTCTGGACACCTCAGTGAGAGAGTTGGAAGGATTTAAACAAACCACGGAAAGGGTCATCTTGTGCCTACTGGCTTTGGAGGCTTACAAGTGATGATTGCAAAAAAACAGGGACAGCTCCAGGGGGGATGCAGTGGTGCAATTATACCCTACTTCAAGAATGTAGCTCACCTGCCAGCAGATCCAGTTC